TCCAAAGTAATCTTCTGAACAAGAAGAAATTATTTCTCAAGGGCAAACCTCCTCCTCAATGCTAGTATTCTTTTTAAGTCTCGGTTGAAATAGTTTTCCCCTAAAGTTGGAGAAAAGCACAAAGGAATCATTTATTTTCGTTTGGATCCCAAAAGCTAACAGACAAATATCACACCCACGGTAGTGATTTTTCTGTCCTCTAAAAGTAGTGTTTCTTAAACTTTTTTTCCCCTCAGGATCTCTTCCCAGTTTTAAAAATCACAGTGGACCCTCAAAAAGTGTTTGCTTGTATAGGTTATATTTATCAATATTTACCAAATTAAAAATTAAATTTGATGTACTTACTGCCACTACTGCTGCTTGGGATTATTTGATCGGATTTTAATGTTGTATAATTTTTTAACATAGGCTGGCAAATCATTTTGATTCTGTGGACTCCTAAGAGCAGGGGTCCCCAACCTTGACAACTTTAAGATCTGTGGACTTCAATTCCCAGAATTCCTCAGCTGCTGGATAGGGAATTCTGGGAATTGAAGTCCACAGATCTTAAAGTTGCCAAGGTTTGGGACCCCTGCCTAAGAGAGCCTTCGGGACCCTCTTGAGTCCTCAGGTCACACTTTGAAAACCTTTTCTAGAATAGTGTAGTAGTTGATACAACTGTTGTATCAAAATAACAGCAATTTATATCACTTCAGTCATAGCTAGGTGATGCCAGTTACTATTAGAGAGTCAGAGTACCGGTAGTCCTCGACTTACAACAATTCTTTTAGTGACCGTTCAAAGTTACAACATCACTAAAAAAAGTGACTTACAACCATTTTTCATGCTTATGACTGTTGCAGCATCCCCATAGTCATGTCATCAAAATTTGGATGCTTGGCTACTGACTCATATTTATGATGGTGGCAGTGTCCAGGGTCATGTGATCACCTTTTGCAACCTTTTGACAAGTAGTCAGTGAGGAAGCCAGATTCACTTAACAATCCTGTTCCTAACTTAACAATCACAGCAATTCACTTAAACAACTATGGCAAGAAAGGTCGTAAAACGGGGCAAAATTCACTTAACAAATGTTTCACTTAGCAACAGAAATGTTGGGCTCAGTTGTGTTCATAAGTGGAGGACTACCTATATCAGGGGTAGGCAACCTTGGCTCTTTTCTGACTCGTGGACTTCAACTCCCAGAATTCCTGAGCCAGCCATGCTGAGGGGAAAGGGAGAGGTTTCCAAGCTGAGCCATGCTGGCTCAGAATTCTGGGAGTTGAAGTCCACAAGTCATAAAAGAGCCAAGGCTGCCTACCCCTGGTCTATATTGTTTACAGTATTAAATTTAGATTGGGAAGATTCAGCTTTCTCCACGACTAGAACATGTCAGTCACTTTTTCTCTCAATCTCGTAGAACTATTGTGGCAATAAAATTAAACCTTTCCCTGTGCAAGGCACTTGAGCTCATTAAAGAAAGATGAACAGTTAAAAATAAAAATAAAGTAGCATTAACATTAGTAGAAATGTTGATGAAAAGCAGCTGTGTAATGCTGTAATTCTTCATATTTAGGAACCTAAAGGTGAGTTGACCTTCGAAGAAGTGGGTTTTAATAAAGCAATATCAACTACAGCGTGATTCTAAGGCAGAAGACGTTAATGGGAAAAAGAGGCCCAAAGACATCAGAATTCCTAGAAAAGATCTTAAAAGCAGCATCACAATTCCAATAAGGGGGGGGGAGAAGTAGAAGATAACAGGAGGATCTAACCTTAGAGAAAATCTGTAAATCAAAAAGGACAAACATAAGAGGTGGCAAAGGGAAAAAATAGGCAATATGGAAGACTGACTGGAAGAGGGAAAATCCAGCTTTAAGTTCATGGGAACAGTCCAGGAATGTCTACAGCAGTGGCTTGGTTTGGTGTGGAATTCTAGTAGCTGAAATACACCCATTTTCAAATTGCCAAGGTTGAGAACACAGATTTGGAAATTTTAAGATATGTGGACATGTTCAGACCTGATTGCAAAGCCCTTATACTCTTCCATGATTTATTAATAATCTGTTGAAGAGGAGGAAGGATTACTTAACAAATCGGTATATGACACCAAATTAGATGAATTAGCCAAGACTTGAGAAGGCAGAAACAACTTTCCAAATGAGCTTGATAGTTTGGAGAAATAGGCTGAAAATAATAGAATGAAATTTAACAAGGACAAATATAGCATCCTTAATTTAGGAAAAAACAAAATCCACAAGCATTGGATAGGGGCCACAGATAGTCCTTGACTTACAACCACAATTGAGCCCAAAGTTTCTGTCACTAACTGAGACAGTTGTTAAGTGAGTTTTGCCCCATTTTATGATCTTTCTTGCCACAGTTGTTAAGTGAATCACTGCGGTTGTTAAGTTAGTAACACAGTTATTAAATGAATCTGGCTTCCTCGTTGACTTTACTTGTCAGAAGATCAAAAAAAGTGTAAACATGACCCCAGGACACTGCAACCGTCGTAAGTATGAGCCAGTTGCCAAGCATATGAATTTTGATCATGTGACCATGGAGCTGGTGCTAAAGTCGTACGTGTGAAAAACGACCATAAGTCACTTTTCAATGCTGTTATAACTTTGATGAACAGTTGTAAGTCACTAAATGAACTGTTCTATTTGGCATGGCAAAACTCTAAGGATCTTGTAAACTGATCACAAGCTGGATAACTGATCACAAGCTGGATAGAAAAAAGGAAAATGAAAAAAGGCAATGAAATCTGAAGAGGTCTCAAGGAAAAAGTATCGTTCAACCCATCGTATATTTACATTATTATGTATTTTTTTTATTTGTATAATTTATTTACAACACCGACGTAGTAATCTTCCTAGATAACCGGACTGTTTTTGTACAGAAAAGGAAATCTTGGTCGGACCATTCCCGGACTCGGAACTCCGGCTCCAGACCTAAAGGAGAAAAATACCGTACTTTCATCCTGAGATAATTTAATCTTGGTTGAAGCATAGAAAGCATTTAACAGCTCCACCTTTCACCTTGCATTCTTCAGGCAGATATGCTTGAGCGTTAATGGCAAGGCCTGCAGATTTGTGTAGTCTGCTGATGCAGTATTTATTGGCTGTTTTCTCACAGGGGGGGAAAAATGAAGTGAATGGCTAAATGAACCAGAGCTGGCCTGTGACCTTTCTTTACAGCCTTTTTTGGAAACAAATTCATTGGCACCATTGAGCCATCAAGAGCAGAGCAGAGGTGCTGAGAGGTGGTCAAGCCACAGGCCTCATTCCCTCTGTTGCTTCTTTACCACAAGTGCTCAGTTCTGCTGCTTCTCCCAAAGAACTGCAGGCTCAGAAACACACACACACACACACACACACACACACATACACACACTCTCTTCAAAGGGCACTCTGAAGAACATCTTGTCAAATGGAGGCTGAGGAAGGCTACTTGGGGCTTAACATTCAAGCCAGAAAACAGCAAAGTCCGATGATCTCTGTGCCTCTGGAACCAGGTAAAACAATTTTTTTTTCTGAACTAGATTAAGAAGTTGGGCCTTTTGGTAACAGCACGCTTTCTCTCTACATTGTTCCTTCTGCTATTGCTTTGTCTGTTAGTTTGATTGCTACGTGTGCTAAATATTTTTGATCGCTGCAATGAGGAAAGTGTTGTGAAGAGTGTTAGATTAAACGGACTGGGAGATGCTGGACTCCAATCCTGTCAGCTATGAGGCTGAGTGGCTGATTTTAGGCCAGTCAATATTTGCCCTCCTGGAAGGATTTTTGAGAAGACATCCAAAACACGTATATAAATATGGCCTGCTTTTCTGGTTCAGCACATTTGTCCATCCTTTGTTCTGATACTTTATAGAATATCTGATATTTTGTGGAGTATCTGATATTTTCTGGAGATTCACAAAGGAAACAGACTCATAGTTGTCCTCTGATATGAACAGCTTCAATTTGATAGCAACCATGGTTATATTGTTGGGGGAAATGCAAATCTGATGTTTGCCTATCTCAGCTTTTAATATGAAAGCTAGTGAAGCAGTTAGGTCCCAATTTCACAAATCAAAGAGTCATTGGATATTGTTGAGGTCACAGAAAATATTTTATCACTGAAAGACTACCTGATATCTGAGTCTAAGACAGGGTAAACTTCCAAACATGCAAATTGGAATTAAGGGATTACTGATCCATAAAGGAACATTTTCATTTTGCATTTAGTATATTAATTACTGGCCTGATTTATTTTGACCCAGGAGTGTCCACAGGAAGAGGGTTCAATAGACAAGATAATGGCCATAAATAAATAATAATAATAATAATAATAATAATAATAATAATAATAATAATAATAGTAGTAGTAGTAGTAGTAGTAGTAGTAGTAGTAGTAGTAGTAGTAAAGTTGGAAGGTACCTTGGAGGTCATCTAGTCCAACCCCCTGCTCAGGCAGGAAACCCTATACCATTTCAGACAAATGGCTGTCCAGTCTCCTCTTAAAAACTTCCAGTGTTGGAGCATTCACCGCTTCTGGAGGCAGGTTGTTCCACTGGTTAATTGTTCTAACTGTCAGGAAGTTTCTCCTTAGTTCTAGGTTGCTTCTCTCCTTGATTAGTTTCCACCCGTTGCTTCTCGTCCTGCCTTCAGGCGCTTTGGAGAATAGCTTGACTCCCTCTTCTTTGTGGCAGCCCCTGAGATATTGGAACACGGCTGTCATGTCACCCCTCGTCCTTCTCTTTGTTAAACTAGACACACCCAATTCCAGCAGCCGTTCCTTATATGTTTTAGCCTCCAGTCCCCTAATCATCTTTGTTGCTCTTCTCTGTACTCTTTCTAGAGTCTCAACATCTTTTTACATCGCGGTGATAAAAGCCGTCCTTTTTATGTCTGTTGAAATAGCTGCAGTCACCACGTTGGCTTTTTTTGAACCCCACCACCCTGCAATGCTCTGGCTTTGCTCTTCTCAAGCAGCCCACCCCCAACCCCCAAGACTGGCAAACCGCATAAATAGCGAACAAAATGAACACCGAGATCAACAAACAAATCATTGTTGTGGGTAATGTTTTTATGGCAGGATAAATATGGAGCTGCTAGAACAATGTTTGTCAGCCTCAGCAACTTTAAGATGTGTGGACTTCAACTCCCAGAATTCCCCAGCCAGCATGGGGAATTCATGGAATTGAAGTCTACACATCTTAAAGTTGTTGAAGTTTAGAAACACCGTGCTGGACTACTCTGGTGATGCTATAAAACAGTGGTTCTCAACCTGTGGGTCGGGACCCCATTTGGGGTCGATTGACCATTTCATGTGGGTCGCCAAGCAAGGCTGTCCGCCATTTTTTTTGTCCGCCATTTTTTCCCCCCTTTTCCAGTGGGTGCCTTACCTCCCTTGGGCTGGGCCAGCTGGTGGTCGGCCTGCTCCGTCTCTGCCGCTTGCCAGCTACGCCTCGACTGGCGCAGGGGGCGGAACCACGCATGAGCGGCGCTCCCGGGCAGGGAAAGTCTTCGACTTACGACCGGTTGGGTAGGCCTCGACTTACGACCGGTTTAGTCATCGACTTACGACCGGTTTAGTCCTCGACGTACGACCGGTTTAGTCCTCGACTTACGACCGGTTGGGGTCGCGGCATTAAAAAGGTTGAGAACCACTGCTATAAAAGCACAGCACAGGAAGATTTAAAGGGAGCATAAAAGAACTGGGAAATTCTGGCCTATTGGCAGACTCACAAATTTGCCTATAACAAATTCTCATTTCTCATTCTCTGATTTGAGAGTAATGCAGAGATTGGAGTTTTTTTAAAAAAAAAAACATTTTATTAATTTTTAAGAATTACAATCTTTTGTGCTTAGTAAGCAACATATTTAACATTAACTTCTTCAATATAAATCTATTCAGTACTGCACAATCCAGTATTTTTCCCTGATCCTCCTTTCTTCCCCATATATTTTCCATTTCCCCCTCATTACACAGTTACAATTCTTGGTACTATTGATGTATACAAAGATAAACATAAACATCATCATATTTTATTAATGTTATACAAATGACAATAATATCAATTCATAAATCAATATCCTGTTTTTCATACTCTTGTTAAAGTTTAATTTCCCATCAATATTTGAAGTATCTTTGTCAGTCATGATTTTCTCAATATTAATTACATTTATATAACTAAAAATTTTATTCATACCAATCCTCTTATTTTCATATTTTCCATATCAACAAAAATAAAAAAATGCTATTTTATTTCTAAATCATATCTTTCATTCTAAAAGTCTAATTATGTCTAAGGATCATCCGTTCTTTTAATCATATTCAAACAAGTATTTAAACATATAATGCCCCCTCTAAGGTTTTACAGGATTGTAAATCACAAAGAAATTCTAGGTAGCCACTCTCAGCTTCTTGGATCAAAGATGGGTCATACATTAGACACATAGCTACACAATGACAATGTGAAATGCTATGAGCAGTGAAACAAAGATTTTGTCTTTGCCTCTGAGAAAAGGTCAAACTATCTATCTATCTATCTATCTATCTATCTATCTATCTATCTATCTATCTATCTATCTATCTATCTATCTATCTATCTATCTATCTATCTATCTATCTATCTATCTATCTATCTATCTACCTACCTACCTACCTACCTACCTACCTACCTATATAATACATCTGCAGTATATATATAAATATATAATATATAATATATATATACTATATATATATGACTTCCAATTTTTCAGTGCAGTAGAGTACAAGAAAAGTTACAACCATCCTTTTGCTTTACATTTGTAATTATTTCAATCTATTTCTATAGAACAAATTAAATCTAGTCCTCAAAACTTAACATTCCTTTTAAAAAAAAAAAAAAAAAAAAAAAAAAAAAAAGCATTTCGAGCACAGAGTCCAGAAGTGGTTTCCAAGTGAAAACAAAACTAGATAAATTATTCTGTTTTATTAAGATGGACAATTTTGCCATTTGCAGTTATGAGAAAAAGTGATACTGCCCATGTTAATTTAATGGAGATGTGGAAATTATTACTGTTTCATGTGGGGAGAAAATCTTGATCGTTACAAAATAAGCCTCTTTCCCTATCCTTGGATTGTTTTGTAGATCGTCTGCTGAGATACCGTTGTTATCGTTGGATCATTACTGGGACAGCATGTGTTGTGATCAGCCTTTTAGTAGCAGCTGTGATAGCATTGCGTATCTGTGGTGAGTCCCTATAAATTCACCTTCTGCCCTAAACTTCTGAATGTTTTGAAATATATATACAGTAAAGAAGATTACCTTGATGAAGATATGCAAGAGCCATTGCCTAGGCAAAAAAAATAAATAAAAAGGACTGAAGTCCAGAACAGGCAGACAACATCAGAAAGGCAGATAACATAAATAATTTTGACTTTCCCGTGGAGTTGATTTCTAGTCTCATTCATCCAATGGGGCTTACAAAATGCCAGGATTTAATGGCATAGAAAAGAACTCTTTTGAACCACATTAAGGTTTGTAATTTTTGTTCACTAATAAGCCATTATAGCTGTTGAAAGAAAAGTCTTCATCGTGATTCAATCCAAGCTGGGAATAAACATGGCGACTGCTTTAGAAAGAAGGTGGCAGTTTATTGAAGAGGAGAGCCAGACAGAAAGATGGCTCTGGCAGAAAGGATAGGGAGCACATGTAGTGAGTGGGTTTTTATACCCTCTGGAGCCTTTTGTTTGGAGTTGTTCCTGTGGCATGAACTTTGACCTGAGTCTGAGTGTGCCCTTTGGTATCTGTGGGTTAATCTTATTATGTCCTGTCTTAGAGTTTGGGTGGGGTATTTAGATTTTAAGTATCTTTGTCTTCCTAAGCTTCTAGCTTCAACCTTCCTGATGGTTTACATCTGCATTTCTATAGAGCTGGTTTCTGTTTGGGGAAGGGAGACTTGGGACTATTAAGAAAAACTGGGCATGCTTTTCTGCCTCTTTAAGATTCTTTGAGGAAATATATTTTCCCGCCCTTTTTAATATTTTCTTCTCTGGGGGACTGACTTCTCACAATACTTTACAATGTCTTCACTCATTTCCTCAGAGAAATGTTTAGGAAAACATGTCAGGAAATATATTTATTTATTTGTTTGTTTATCCTGCCTATTATTTCTATATATAACTCAAGGCAGTGAAGATGCCTAATACTCCCTCCTCCTATTTTCCCCACTACAACAACAACCCTGTGAGGTGGGTTGGGTTGAAGGAGAGTGACTGGCCCAAAGTCACCTAGCCAACTTTCATGCCTAAAGTGGGACTACAACTCACAGTCTCCTGGTTTCTAGCCTGATGTCTTAACTACTAGACCACGGATGTCAAACTTGCTGCGTCACATGACGTATCATGACATTTTTTTGCCTTTGGGGAGCTGGGGTGGGTGTGGCCTCCGTGTGACACATCTGGCCTGTGAGTCGGCAGTTTGACACCCCTGGACTAGACTAAACATATAGTAGTGGCCAAAATTGTGGAAACCTTTTGGGAAAAGTGTACAATAGAACTGCCACCTTTGGTTAAGTTTCCACCAATTTTTCTTCTAATTTCTTCATAACTGTAGCCTTGTTCACTTAATACTATTATTTTACATCGCTTTCTGGGCAACCAGTCAACTCTTTGCACCATTACTTTAATTTTATTATGTTTTACAAGCTCACTAGATGAAAGAACACAAAAAAACCCCCAACCAACTGGATAGCGATCACATAACACACTGACAAATGTCCTCCTCTTAGCTTCAATACATGACATCAATAACTGAATCCTACTGTGGTCTGATTGGCTCTCTAAACACTCATGCTCATTGGCTACAATCAGATGAAGGAAAGCTACCTGATATCAACCTAAGCAAGTTGTGCTTCCTTTTTCTGGTTATTTGGCTATAACTTTTCATAGAATACAGTACAGATAATTGAACAAATTATGTTGCATTACATTCTTGATTAAATTATCTTTCCATTGATATATAATTTTATGGTACTACTCCAAGAAAAGTGGTGTTATTAGCCATTAAAACTCAAAAATACACTTTTCCCAAAAGGTTTCCACAATTTTGGCCACTACTGTATACCACAAAGTCACTGCATATGACTTTGCTTGATGATATTATGGTAGGCATGATATCACTTGCTTCCATGTATGTGTGTCATAAAAGCCAAGATGGTGGCTGAAACCATATGACTGATCCACACAGAAAAGGGAAGGAACTGTGCGTGATAACAGTTGCCACCTGGAATTCGACAGCCTTTGTGCTTTCAAATTATATTATTACATCCAAATCATGCTTGTGCTTGCTTATTCCTTACCTAAGGCTGGATGTAATCGTGTTATCTCTTCTTTATCTTATTATTTATGTATTTCAAGAGTTTCATCCTACTCTTCAAAATGTTCTGAGTTAAATCATAATCAGATGACTAAATAAGAAAGTATGAAGGGTGGGTTAGCAAAAGGGAAACAGGATAATATCTTCCTTTCCTCAATTTATTTATTCCCTGTTTGAATTTCAAGCTTTTCAGAGAAGACAATACACCGAGACTTTTGACAAATCTGTTGACCCTCAGGAGACCAGCAATGGCACAGAAATTAAGCACAGGATGGAGAGCGTTGTCTCTCGCTTGCAGACATTTTTGTGTAAACAAGTCCTAGTTAACTCAACAGGTAATGCCAATATTCTCTCCCTGTGAGATAAGGATGGGGAACATGTCACATCCAATTTCTTGAATTTTGAAAAAATTCTATCTTAGGTGGATCTTGGGAAGATCTGAGATGTAACAATCACTTGCTTTCCATAAATGATGGGAATAGGAGCTTTAGGGTATTGAAGGATATATTATTTTCTTGATAGTAAAGACAACTGAAGTCTCTATTGCTCAGATTACGGCCCTTTTATGGCCACATTAAGAACATTCCTGAAATATTTTATAGATGTTTTCCGTAATTATATAATGCAAATTATCAAAATGAAATCTGTGCTAGTGATGTTAGCTTAATCCAAGATTCTCAGCAAGATATTTAAAATAAATAAATAAAACCCTTTGTCTTTTCTCACAATGGATAAGTATTACAAACATACCTATTGGAATGTAAGTTAACAAATTGGCATTTTTAAAACCCAAAATGTAGGCAATATACTTTTCCCCCCATATACTTGAAAATTGTTTTAAATTAGACTATCGTTTTTCTTGCTTTGGTAGATTCACTTGTGAACTCCTCCATTTCATTATAATCTTGGACCAAGTTCCAGTTGTTCTCAAATTAAAACATTATACATTATATGATATCCAATAGCTCTTCTCATAAGCAATCCTTATTTTGTGAAATATATCAAGAGGGGTATTTGCTTTCAAAATAAATAAATACTCTATCACTGAATTAACCCTCTAGGAGGCATTTAAGGAATCTTTTTATAGCTCTACTAGCTGTACCCGGCCACGCGTTGCTGTGGCTCAGTCTGGTTAAATGGAAAAGAAAGAAAAGAGAAAGCGCACATTTGTAATATGTAGTGTGTGTTGCTTTTACGTCCAACAGATGGCGCTGTTTTTCAAAAAAAGCATGTTTTTACCTGTCACAGGTGTGACATCTATATAATAGTAGGTATATAAAAACACGCGCGTATTCGAATGCAACGTTGTGTCAAAATTTCAAAGCAATTGGTGAAGAACTTTCGGAGATTTAAGATTTTGAACAAATGAACATTTACATTTTTATTTATATAGATTAGTACTATAAAGACAATACAATCTCTGTATAAAACTATTAGGGGAAGACCCTGGACATGGTGGAGTTCCAGTTGAAAGATACAGAACTTTTGTAGATATATTGACCTTATATTGTTACTGTTTATTAGTGTATTATTACTGTAACATAGGACGTATAAAATGATGGAAGGAATATAGAAATATTCCCTCCATCATTTTATATCTCCTATGTTACAGTACTATTAAAGCCTAAAAAAGGCCTCACCACACATGCAAGTTGTAGATCAGTAACTATGCATAACATGAATGCTGAAGCATTAAAGACAACACTAGTCAGGAGGCTGCAGAAAGAAATACAACACTCTGATAATTCACCCAGCTTAGTCTGGATTTATAAAAGCAGACAAGCATTTGATAATTTGTCAACTGGTGTTTTAATCTTCACAACAAATACACAGAGACTGTTATAAAAAAATTAAAAATGCTAACAGACCCAGAATAATGAGAGCTTTGCTTATTTGGGTTCATTAAATTTTGGCATTGTCACATACCATGACTCCTTATAACAAGAGTAATAATTAAGACGTTCAGAATGTAACTGGCAATAAATCAAGTTTCATTTCCTCCTCTGAATTCTCAACCAAAAGAAAAAAACCCTGGTAGAGCAGGGCTTTTCACCCATTGTACCACTTTTAGGATATGGCAATATCTGAGTACCACCAGTCGCCTAGCAAGGTGTCAAAAACTTGATAACCCCCCCAAAAAAGGGAAAAAGTGATAAAGTACAGGTACTCCTCGATTTACAACAGTTCGCTTAATGACTGTTCGAAGTTACAATGTCACTGGAAAAAGTGTCCCCCAAGCCACAGCCAAGCAAGACACCTGCCTGCCCACCCAGTGGCACTCTTCCTCCTGTTCGAGGTTTTCATTGTTGTGAGCATTTCTGTTGAGGATCGGCAGCGGAGGTGGGGTGGGGGGGTGTTTGGTTTTTATTCCCCCCATCTGCTGGGTGGTTGCAGCAGGTTTGGGTCACTTCACATGACCCTGGGACACTGTGACCGTCATAAATATGAATCAGTTGCCAAGCATCTAAATGTAAATCACAAGGCCCTGGAGATGCTGCAACATTCCAGCTGATCGGCGCTTCCTCTGGGCTCAGCAGAAGCGCCAGGATCAGCGCTGAGCTCGAGCTGGAGCCTGGCGCTGATCCTGGTGCTTCCACTGAGCCCTGACAGCCCCGAAGAAGTGTTGATCAGTTGGAAAGCGGCACTGATCCTGCTGCTTCCACTGAGCCCTGACAGCACTGTAGCTCCAGCCATTTCGCGCTCAGGCTTGTGCGGTGCTGCCACCAGTTCAGTTCATTCCCCTCCCCCACTACCACTTTTCTAGGATGGTTGCGTACCACCTGCCAGGTGCCAATGTACCACAGGTGGTATCCGTACCACTGGTTGAAAAGCCCTGTGGTAGAGGCTTTCAGAGCCAGACCCCTAAAAGTTCTCCTTGTTATATCTAGTTTGGTCTTAGCATCTGCAAGAGGGACCCAAAATGTTGAGTTAGTAGCCATGACCACATAATTGATGCCCTCACCTCCACTTTTAAGCGTGATACAAGGGCAGCTCATGTAAAAAGGGGTAGACCGTTAATTACTTGGCTATAGCTGCTATTTGATATTTTTGCACCCTTCCTCAGTTGTCTGTGATTTTAATTTTTATTCAGGTTCAGTACTTGAAAGTATACCTCTAGAATAGTTTCAGTGTATAATTTCTGCAAAAACAGGTAGTTCTCGACTTACGGTCAGTCGCTTAGCAAATTGTTCAAAGTTATGATAGACTTCTCCAAAAGCTACTTATGACTCCCCGCCTCCAAATTGCTTAAAACTGTTTGAAGTCATGGCCCTCGCAGCACCTTCTTTTCTCAAAATTCAGGTGGATTTGCCTTTACAACCGATAGAAGGGACATTGCAGTTTGCCCCCTTCCCATCTCCTTCCTATCCCACTCTGCCAGGTCCCACACCCTCCTCCCCACCCCATCATTGATCCCTCATTTTTTTTTATTGTGGAGCTCGGGAGCTCTCATTGGGGAAGGACAGCAGGCCGCACTGTCCCTCAGCATCCCTAGGCCACATGGCTCTGTCCCAGAAGCAGGCACCATTTTCAGAAGAACCCTCTTTCACCAAAGTGAGCTCCAGACCTCCAGAGATTTGCAGCACAAAAGATAAAGGGACTGATGAGGAGTGGGGAGCACTCAGTGGGGTGAGAAGCAAGCCTAAGGACTGTGGGGGCTCCAAAGGATGGGAAGCAGACCACAGGGTGCCTCGGGGAATGGAAGATGGAGGCCAGGTGCACCTGGACCTACACTATGTCTCCTGTGGCCTCCTCCATCCCTGAGGCTGCCCATGCTCCATTTAACAACCTACCTGATTGTTTAATGACCACATCGGGGAGAGCAGGGTGGGGTTATTATGCGAGATGATCATATGGAAACTTTGCTTAAATGATTATCACGACTTGCGGCCATAATGGGCAGGCTCCATTATGCTCATAAATCGAGGACTACCTGCATCTCATTGTGATGGCACATGCATGAATTACTGTTGTGCAGCTTTAGAAACTCCACATCCCTTTAGAAAAGTTCATATCTGGCCTGATTCACGTAAAAAAAAATGCATCTTTGTTATATGGCCTTCAGAGAGTTTCAGATGCCACGTGTGTCCTAGAAACTGGTCTTATCACGATGGCAAATGCTACTGGATTTCCAAAGAACTGGGGACCTGGGACAAAAGCCAAGAAGACTGCAGAGCCAGAGGGGCTCAAATGCTGGTGCTGAAGGAACGGGAAGAAATGGTAGGTCAAGATTTGTGACAGGGAGGCCAAGGGAGCAGTGTTAATGGATTAAAAAGAGAAAGGGGAACTACAAACCCCACAATTCCTTGCTTTCTAACTAGAATGGCAAATACGCATGTTGATTAAGTAAATGCTGCCTCACAGGGATGTCCATGGGAGGGAAGGAGGGGAGGGAGGGTTACCAAAAAATAATAATAATCAAGATGGCATCTATGACTGTGTGATAGAAGCTCAACCCCTTTTTTATGTGGGTCATGAGCTGCACATCCAGTGGCGGGATTCAGATATGTGAAGAACCGGTTCTCTGTGTGGATGCTGCTTCCGGAAGTCCATTCAGGGCCTGGGTAACAAAAAATTAGCTACTGGTTCTGCCGAAGTGGTGCGAACCGGCTGAATCCCACCACTGTGCACACTCCTCCTAAAGATGATGAAGAGTAGAAAAACACCACTGAGCCATGTGCATCAGTACAGTTGTCAGTAGCTTCTTCCAGTCTGATAAGGAACAATTGTGGAGCACCCTCAACACACGGGTGACACTGAAAAAGATGGTGTCATTTTTCAACAAATGTTTTAATATTAGATGCATATCCCACTGTTATTTGTATAACTCCCAGTGGTATATCTAATGCTTCTGCCTATTTTCCCCACAATAACAACCTGTGAGGTAGGTTGAGGAGAGAGGCAGAGAGACTGCCTCTCACCCAGCCAACTTTCTAGTCCAAGGGAGGTATAGAATTCATGGTCTTCTCGTTTCTTGTCCAGGAGTTAAATCACTACACCTAACAGGCTATCATATTGCGTATATTTCCTTGGACTTTTTCCCAGAAACTCTTACAAGTCATAGGATTGCAACAGCAATAGGATAGAAATAGAACCTAGAACTGAGGAGAAATTCCCTGTCAGTGAGAACAATTAACCAGTGGAACAGCTTTGCCTTCAGAAATTGTGGGTGCTTCATCACTGGAGGTTTTTAAGAAGAGACTGGACAGCCACTTGTCTGAAATTGTATAGGATCTCCTGCTTGAGCAGGGGGCTGGACTAGAAGACCTCCAAGATCCCTTCCAGCTCTATTTTGATTGATTGATTGATTGATTGATTGATCAGTGGAATGGCTTGCCTCCAGAAGTTGTGGGTGCAGAGATTGTGGGTCACTGGAGGTTGTTAAGAACAGATTGAACAGCCATTTATCTGGAATGGTACAGGGTCTCTTGCTTGAGCAGGGGGTTGGATTAGAAGACCTTTAATATCCCTTCCAACTCTGTAATTCTTCTCCTCTGAATTTCTATCACTAAGTGATTTAGTTATAAAGCACAGTGTCATGTGACTGCACAGCGTAGCGACAGTAATCCTGGCAATCCCGGTTGCCGAGTCTGTATATTCTTAAATGTCTTCACAGTAACCATCCTAAATAAATCACTTTAGTACATCCAACCTTAAATTTTAAAGAGCAGTTGGAGGGAAAGGATGTCATTAAATCCATCATTTAAGTGATGTACTTATGCAAATGCTGTAGCTTCCTTCAGATATAGTGGTCTGAAATATAGTTTTACTGCAACCAATGTCCGCTGAATGATAGCGAGTAAAATCAAAGTTTCACAATTCAGCAACCTCTAATCAAGTCCTTTTTTTTAACAGAGTTTTATCCAGAGCATTTCTGATGAAACACAGTCACTATGGATTGGGTTGATAGGAATGTTTCCAGCAAGAAAGTGGATGTGGGTTGATGATTCCCCATTGAATGAAAAACTGTGAGTATTTCTTTCTAGACTTATTGAAATCCTGCAGTGGACAATTCCATCCACCAAACAACATGCAGCCTATTTCTGAGTAAAAATGAATAAAGATTCTAAGCTAAGTGGAGACAAGTGGAAATGTTTGATAACTGCCGGCAGTGATTTGCTTTAAAAAAAATCAAGGCAAAACAGATCCTAAAATTGGGCCCAACTCACTTAACAACTGCCTTGTTTAGCAATGGAAATTTTGATCCCTATTGTGGTTGTAAGTCAAGGACTACCTGTATGCATCAGATATTCTTGTCACTAGATCTCGTCTTACTGAAGGTATTTTGCACAAGGGTCATGCAGGGACGTTGCGCAACATGTGGGATGAGGAAGGAGTGAAACAGTTTAAGTAAAGAAAGCTTTTTATTTTCCCAAGAGAGGCCAGTCAGATTTCCTCCAGCATTTAGGCAAAATTCTAGAGCTCAAGTTTATTAATGGTTAAAGCGTTGGACTCTAACCAGGGAGACATTTGTACAAGTCCACCTTTGACCCCAGTGACGTGCAGCTGTTCTGCTGTCTCTCAGATCAATAATAAGCAATAAGCAAAAAAAAAAAACATCAGTTTTTTTTTAAAATATAATTTTTAAATGCAGGTAGTCCTCGATTTGTGACTGCAATGAACACTGTCCTAAGTCATGACAGTCATAAAATGGGTCAGTCACATGACCGACCTGCTTTTACAATCTTTTTGTGGCAATTGTTAAGCAAACACCAATGGTTCGCAATGGGAGTGGCTTTGGCAAAAACTGGAAGTAACTGCCGGTGGTAGTGGTGTGGTGTGTGGGAAACATGGTAAAATGCAGTCATGTGACTGCAGGATGCTGCAAACAGCTGTGAATGCATTTCAATTTATTTATTTATTTATTTATTTATTATTTGGATTTATATCCCGCCCTTCTCCTCGCAGGACTCAGGGCGGCTGACAATCAATTAAAATACATAAATAACAATACAAATTTTAAATTAATTAAAAGAGATATTTAAATATTGTCAAATTTAAAATATAATTAAAACCCCTCTAAAAATTACCCTAGGCCAGTCCTGCAAGCTGGAATAACCAAGTCTTGAGGGCGCGGCGGAAGGAAGGGAGATCAGGGATAACCCTGATCTCTGGGGGCAGTTCATTCCAGAGGGTGGGAGCTCCCACAGAGAAGGCCCTCCCCCTTGGGGTCGCCAGCCGGCACTG